AATTAGAATATAGCCCACCCTGCTCAATGGTTAAAAAAAAAATTACATCCTAATTGTAAAGTTTTACCATAGTTTTTCTGTTATACAGATTAATGTATATGTGTTTTATATATATATATATATATATATATATATATATCAGGATCAGTTTAATCAAGAAATTAGCTTGGTGTTTAAGCAACACTGCACTTTTCTGAAAAGTCTTATCACAGCATTCAAACCTTAGATGAAGAATGAATCAAACAAAAATGTTTTTCTGAACAACCCTAATGTGAATCAGCAGGTAAAATGGCCATTCCAATACTTTCATTCTGAACATTCTATTTCAGACAACAATCATAAAGCAAATCCATTTAGTGTTACCAAAGTGAAAGTGAACTAGATGTGAAAGATCTTTAGAAAATTCTGGAAAGAAACAAGTACACACTATTTTTTCTTTTTAGGAGACCCTTGGGTAAGTGTGGCCTGAAGAACTAGTTCCAAACAGGCTAAATTCTTCATGTTACAAAATTGGTATGCTGTTTTTAAATGTTGCATGTCAGGGCTTACGGCTCCAAAGTACATACAGAGATTCTTATAAATAGAAAATAAAGACCAATCTATTAAGCAGCAATAAACAAGCCTAAAATTTTTAGAGGTATATTAGTTGACAGGCTTTAAAACTCCACGTTTTTAGTACTGGTTATGAAGAACTCAAACTTGTGGATCACTTGAGCCACATTACATCCCGAAAGGGCTATGTCTAAATTCACACAAGAGCAAGAATGTAATTTGAGGAGGAATTTCATCCTTTATTATTTCTATCTATTAAAAGAAAAAAATCCACTTGTCAATTCTCAAAATCCACAGTGCAAGGAAATGAAGAACTGGGCTCTTCTTTTCTCCCTTTATTTAGCAGTCCAACTATTTCATCAATCACACTGATCTTAAATTGAAAAACCAAACAAATTTTGAGCCATCCCCCTTTCCCGCCCTACTAGAAGTTAGCAGCACAAATCTGGCTGGAAACTTTAAAGCTCTGTGTGAAAGGAATCCTATAGCATAATTCAGAGAAAGAAATGTTTTTGTAAGACCATCTGTATTCATCCATGTCATTGCTCAAAGAAAGTTTAGTGAGCCAGGGTAGAAAAATAAAGTTTTGTGAAGCAAATCTAGAATGAACGGTAATCCTAACTAACAAGATATAGGAGTAAGAGTGTAGTCTGCACACTTAATATATTCAGTTCAAGCATTTATAGAGAAGTTTCCACATAGAAAATGGAAGATTTTTATATGAATTCAGAAAAACTGGGTTCCCAATTCACAGTACCCTAGGTGACTTTTGTCATTATCATCTTTTCTGATTCTTACAAAGTAAACCTAATTAAGAACCTCCCTCATTAGTCTTCCAGAAAAATTAGCACAGCTTATGCTAATTACTCCTGCAAAATTTAATAAACTCGTTGAAATGGGAATAGTCTAATGAGGTTTTATTTATTGAACTAAGATAACTCCAAGGAAAAAGGTTAGGACACAAGGATATCCAATGTGGTAATAAAACTACAATTTATTCAATTTCTAAACATGAACTTTATTGCAAACCTTTTAAATTCAAATATGAGTTACTATGTGAATATGTTAAATCAATCTCCACCTTAATCCAATAATTGCAAGTCATTTTTTGCTTTTTACTTTAACAATAATTACCACACATAGCCCTTTACCTCAACGATAATGAAATTTGCTGTTATTAGTTTCTGGTCATCAACTATTAAACATAACACATTTGACTTTTCCCATGTCTACATATTCCAAATATCTAGATCCTTGCACACAGCCTGGTTTTTATAATTCTCAATCAAACAATTTGGCATTAAATAGAAACACAACCAGGCAGTTAACTCAAGATGCACACATCATCCATTTACAAAAATTCCCTTCCAGAAGTTTTTGAAGTGACTTGACAATTGTCATAATTATAAAAAGTGTTGGGGTCATATTTTTCTGACTATGTAGAAAGCTACCATAAATGAAGTAGAAATACATTTTCTAAATCACAGTATTTAATTGCTGATTTTGTTAATTCCACTTTTTTGATAGACTATGCCAAGCTGACCACTTGCAGCAAACCACTGGCAGCAAATAATACTGCCAAAATTTAACACAGAAATAGCTTATCCTGCACCACTGCCGTATGACCATAAAGCCTCTTCTATCAATCCTATAAATAGTTTTCCTGAATAACCACTACTAAAAGTCTTTTGACTGATAAAAATAGCACTGTTCTTCCAAAATCTGAAGGACAAGCAAAGGGAGCTAAAAATTATTGGTGCCCAAAAGGTGACCGCGTGTTAAAACTATGCTAAATCCTAACACAAGGATTGCCTGTAGCTTCAGTCCTATAATTGTAAATTGGATGCATCTTGTAAAAACAGTTACTCCTGCTACTGAATGCAGGCCCCATAACCTATTTTTACAAAATATGCAGGGATTCACATCCATAAATCTGAAAGCAAATCAAACCCTAAGCACGTAACGCAGATATTATGCAATCGGTAATATAGAATCAAATTGGAAACTATGAAATTCAAACACAGTTGCCATCATTTTTTTTTTCCTTTGCAGCAATTTTATGGAATTGAAAAATCTTTTCTATTTCGCCCTTCCTTGTGTAAGTTCTTTTCCTGTTGTTATTCTCTTGTTAAAAATGGAAGTTTCACATATCAGCACAGACAGGACTGGAGCTTTTAAAACCTTTGGCAGACTGAAGGACAAATAAATTCTGAAAACTCAGATGCAAATAAAAATAGCTGAATGGGGTTTTGCATATCAGCTGGCATCACTGCTTGAAAAGACAGTTCATGGGAGACAGTGGCAACAGCCAGCAAATAAACCTATGTTGGGACTCGTGCAGATAACCAGGGTTTCAGCTGCTTTTCCAAGTACTCCTCTCTTAAGAGACAAGATTGGCTAACAGCATTTTCTACTTTGTCAAACCAAAAAGGAAAAAAATAATGAAAAGGATAAATGTCATGAGTAATATCTCTAAAGCCACCAACAGTATAAAGTGCATACTTATTTTACCTAAATTGTTTGAACTACCCTAGCCAAGAAAAGGTTTTAAGTACCCTACTGGGATAGATGCAAGGCGGCAACAATAGAAGCCACACTAATGCAATCCAGGTAACACAATCCTGTTTCAAAAACACGGGTCGGGCTAATTACAGCGCTGCTGAGTCAAGTTTCTTATGCCATCGCAACCCACAGAAACAGGTCAAAATCAAATGTTATTCAAACCACAGTCATATCAACCTTCTATATCAGAGTCACGGCTTAAAACCAAAAGAAGAACTTAAAAGCTTAACCCATTCAAAAGCAAAAAAAAAAAAAGCATTTTCATTGCGGATGGCAAAGTAAGGTTCTTGTCATCATCTAAACCAAAAGAAACTGTGCGGCAGAACCAAATGCTGATAGTTTCAAAGTTTGGGGCAAATATTTGGGCTGGTCTTTTGATCAGAACACTTTCTTCCTAATGAGTAAAATCTGCTTAAAATAACAAATGGTATTTTGAAGTGAGGTATTTAGATGAAACAAACAGCATAAAGGTTATTTTTTTAAATCTTCTTTATCTGAAGATTTATCTGCCATTGCAGAAAAAAAGAAACTGCATAATGGCATGTCTGCTTCTGTAGATAAACATGCTATATTAATTCTATAGGCAGCATACAACTTCATTACACTCTAAAGGTGGATGTTTTCAGCTTTGAATCAAACAAGATATTAAGCAAAGTTATTAAGTTATCCAGCAAAGATATGTTTCTGGTGAATATTAGTGAAAGATAGTTAAAATATCTGACTCAAATGCAAGCTTTATAAAACTTCTGGGCAATCAAAATTGAGTTTAAGCCTAAAGAATCACATAAGTCAAAATCAACAACTGATGTTTTGTCATAAACCACAATGAAGAATACTTTTTCAGTTAACTGAAAAATGATAAAGCCCCCCCAAAAGTAAAGAATTGGGAAGACAGATGTGCACCAGCAGGCGGTGGGGGGTGGGGGTGGGGCATCAAAAATCAGTATTACCAAACTCCAAAAAGGACTTTTATTCAGCTGTTGATCTCCTCAATGACAGATCCGTCAGTCTTACTTGCAAGACTCTTCCAGCTAGTAGAGGGTGCTAGCTCTTTTCCTAGCTGATAACTGACAGTATCTATAAACCTTCCAGGCCATTTAACTCCCAATGAGTAATGCTATGTAACAAATGGTTTATCATACATGTTTCCATACAATGAATTTCAATAATTAAAATGTAAAACGAATATTTGGAATGCGACTTTGCATAATCTGTGCACACAGTGACTCGAAATTGCGCCGAACAACTAAAACAGATTTATTGTTCTACAGTGATTTACTTGGTCGTGTCAGATTAGTAATATGGATCTGCTTAAAAACACAATAATTAAGACAAGCAGGATAAATTAATCAACTTACAAGGCAGTCTGAGCTACAATCAAACCCGGGAAATTACTATAGAAAATCTTGGTTCACAGATCTCTTTAAAACTGCTTTTATGCATAAATAAAACCTTAAAATGTAGATGGATTACGTCCAACAGAACTACTGTAGCTAAAAGTGATAATGATTCAAACATTTTTCAAATAAAAGTTAAATATTTATAAGCACCCAACCACATTTCATAAATCACAAAATATTATTATTTTATTTCTGAAGCTTCCTGGCACAGCATGAGGATTGAGCCACAGAAAGTCAAGAAAGAAGAACATTCCTTTAGGAGCATGAATCAGACACAAAACTGGAGCAATCCGAGAAAGCGGGCCTCCAAAGAACATTCCATATGGCTTTCCCAGGAATCGCAATAGCTCGGCGCAGCAGATGAAGTCATGACCAACAGGCAAATTTCGGCCACATGCCTTCCTAACCCTCACCCGAGAGCCACACGAGGCAGGTGTTTCATTATAATGAGGAGAAAGAACCGCGTGAAAGTAGAGTGGTCCCTACCTGTCAATTATCACTGGATCTGAGGGAGTCTCATTTCGGTTGCCACAGCTTTTCTTGTCACAACAGCGGCTGCGGAGCAAAAGCGAGAGGATTTAGTACAACCATTGCAAATGTAAAATCATCATTTAGGCAGACAGAAGGTTCAAATTGCTGGGTTGCAAATGCTAGAATTACCACAAAGCCATACCTGGCAATCAACGGATCCCTGGGACAGAATATTCTGTTTGGGTCACCTATGGGTTAATGCCAGGTTTAACCTCTCCCTGCACAAAGGAGGGAGGGAGAGGGGCTCTCCGAGCGAGGACTGACAGCCCTAAGATGGGGTCTCCCCATCACTGCCCGTGGAACTGGAAGACTTCACTGTGAGACGCATTATTATTACATCTACCCAATGAGAATATTCAGGGTTGTGGGTGGCTCAAACACTCTTCCCTCAAGATCACACTAATTGCGTGGAACACGTCAATAATGAGGTATGAGTGATTCTCCCCCTCCAGTCGTTTTGTATTCAATGGATTCCTTTTTCTTCTCCTTTCTCTTTTATAGGAGACATTTCCTTCAATCACAGCTTTCCTGAAATCTTAAAACTGTAACAGTCTGCTTTGGAACCATGTTCAGAATGTAAGAATGAAAGTACAACATAATAATTAACACAAAGAGGAAAGATAAAACACAACAGAGATCCACATGTCCTCTGGCTTTTGTGCCCTCCACTGGTCACTGTGTAAGTTTTCTGGAAGCAGTATGGATGTGGATCCAAAGGCTGGCAAAGGCCTGACAGTGAACACTCCTTTTATCAGGTCAGAGAAGAGGCAGACATGGGCACGAAAAGCATCTACTATCAGAATCCCACCCCATGTGTGACCTTAAAGTTGCCAGTGTTTTCTTAAACTGAGATGCTTCTAAAAAGTGAAAAAGTAAGAGTTTTCAAAAATTACCCATGGTCAATGCAAGACTATCCATCTGAGACTTGTCTGCAAATAAGAAATGTGTCCACTGGCCAGTCTTTACCTCAGGGCACACTATAAAAGCATATATTTGATCAATCATGGAGGTGAGGGAGTTATGCAAGGGTTATACATTACCTGCATCACAAATAAAGCATGCATTTTTTCCCCTCTTACACAAGCACACATATACACACACACTCATTCGACCTAGTGAATCATAGAGCCTAAATTTGGAGAGCTATTGGAAAGAAACAAACACTGAACTTTATTTTCAGGACCCAGAAATATATGCCCGCACAGGGGGTCTTTCACCAAAGTTGGGAAGTCTCTCTCCTGGCCATTACTCTATCTCTGAAAAGAAAATCAGCTTCCAAATTTGATGCTCATTTTATTTGTCTCTCATATTTTCAGAAAACAACAGCAAGAATTCTCTCTCCTTTGTCAGAGCCCCAGCCAAAAACCATACCACTCGACTTAGAGCTGTTCCCTTTCTGGTTCAGAGGAAACAATTTCCTCCAGGTCTGAGTTCAGCTATACTAGGACTTTGAGGGAAAGAAAGCCCAAAGGATCCCAACACCTAAGAGACAGATACAGAAAAAAGGGACTGAGAAATCCAGTAGTTGACATGAATGCCAAAAAAGTAATGATAATTTTAAAACTAAACTTGACTATCTCTGAACTTCACCTCCCTGCACCTACATTCCAAGGGCTTGCCAGGAGAGTGCAGTGGTTAGGAACACTGACTCTGGGCTCAGAGCTGCTTGTGGCACTGAAGCAAGGGACTTCACCTCCTGGAATCTTAGTTTCCTCATCTATAAAACAGAGCGATTGCAGTACCCACCTCTAAGTGTGAGGGCACAGGTCTCCAAAAAAAAGCCCATCGACAGAGCCCAAGTCTTTACCCAGGGAGAAAAGCAACGCATGCCTATTTCTCCTTGCTTTTTTTCTTCTCTTTTTCAGAACAGTGATTGGGCAAATCTCCAGAGGTCAAAACCCTCACCATCATCCTAACTGGAATAAATGCGTCCAGGGACCCTTCCAACTTGCCTGATGATAGTTTCAGACTAGAATCTACATCTCAAGATGATCTGACCCTCTCCCTCCTCACCGCACCACCCTCAACCAAGTCACTTTCATTTCTCGCTTGGACTCCGCAGTGGCCTCCCCTCCACTCTTCACCCAGCACCAACAGCCAGAGTGATCTTTTCAAAATGTCAATGGAACTGTCACTCCACTGCCCTAGACCTTTTAAGGGCTTCCCACCGCACTGAGAATAAATCTATGGCATGACATGGAGCCAGAACACCTCCCCATCTCTTGTCACTCCCCCCCAGTGTGCCACACTCCAGCCTCACTAGCCAATTTCAGTCTCCACATTCAGTCTGACCCCAGGCCCAGGTGCAGGCAGGCCTCCGGGGCTGGACTGCTGCTCCTCCAAGCCCTCCCTAGCTAGCCAGCCTCTACCCGCTCTGTGGGGCATCCCAGATGGCTCAGGGGTAAAGAATCTGCCTGCAATGCAGGAGACCTGGATTTGATCCCTACAGAAGGAAATGTCAGCCCACTCCAGTATTCTTGTCTGGGAAATCACCTGATCAGAGGAGCCTGGCAGGCTACAGTCTGTGTGGTCACTAAAGAGTCGTACACAACTAAGCGACTAAACAACAGCAACCTCCTCTTTGGGTCTAGGCCTCTAGACTCCTTCCTCAGAGAAGCTGACCTTAATACTTGATAGGCTGCTCCAAGTTTTTCCTTTCAGTGCACTAAACACAAAGCAAATTATATTCTTATGTATACACTTGTGTATTTTTTGTTACTATCTTTCTCCTCTCACCCCTCCCCCACCAACCCATATGTTTCATAAAGGAACACACTGTCAATCTTATTTACCTAGCAGGTAGCTGCGGCCTGGGACAGAATAGAGAAGATCAAATAATGGTTGGTGGGTTGGTTGATTGGATGACTTCAGGAATGAATGTAATATACTAGGGGAAATACAATCCAATAGGAAGGTAGCAGATAAAGGAAGCCATGCTGCCCCTCTGAGCAGATGCTGCCAAAGGAAGGAAGGTTCACCCCCACCCCACCCCACCCCCCAGATCACTTCCCCAGGCAAGGCTGCACTAGGCCTGAGATCTGCCCTGTGCATTAAGCACTGTCTTCATCCCCTTAAAATATAAGTGCCCTTGAGTGAAGCCAGCTGAATCGAAGCACAGCCTAAGTGAGAACCACCCTCTCTGCTGTGCCCCAAGGGACCCAGGGCAGAAAGCAGATGTGAAGAACAGAGGTGTAGAAGGATGAATAGAAGAGGAATAAAACAAGGAAAATGGACTAAAGGGCTGGAGATCACTTAACATCATTTATAAAGAAAACTTTACACAAAGTATGAAAAATAGCCCAACAGGTCTCCTGCCTCTCAGGTCATATCACTGCACTCGTAGTCATCATCCTCGAAATGGGATTCCTGGGCTCTGTGCTGCATCTGGGGCAGTAACAAAGCAGTGTCTACGGTTTAAGCCCACTTTAAAAATAAATGCACATACACATACACATATACGTGTGTATACATGTATGGAACTGTGTGCAGCATCAGAAAGAATGAAGGTGGGTTTGTCCACACCATGACAGAAAAAAGTCTACATCATATTATGACCTGAGAAAGCCAAACTGCAGAACAGCATGTATGGTGTGTGTGTGTGTGTGTGTGTGTTAGGTCACTCAGCCATATCCAACTCTGAGATCCCATAGACTGTAGCCTGCCAGGCTTCTCTGTCCTAATGGAGCGAGTTGCCATTTCCTACTCCAGGGGATCTTCCCAACCCAGGGATCAAACTCACATCTCTTGCATCTCCTGAACTGGCAGGTGGATTCTTTACCACTAGCGCCACCTGGGAAGCCCCATATGTATGGTATGGGTATGGTCCAACTTATGGGAGGAAAAAACCAGTAGGAGAGATGGAGAGAGGAGAGGGAGAAACAAATTGTCACAAGTCACCCTCAGGTCCCTCAAATGTCTGCACAAAGGGACAGCCTGTGAAGGCCCTTCCCTTCCCACCCCCGGAGCTCTCCAGCCCCTCATCCTGCTTCACTTTTCTTCCAGGCACTCATTTTATTTTTCTTCTTTACTGTCTTTATTTTTCTTCTTTAAATTTACTCTTCTTCTTTATTGAGTACAAAGGGCTTAGACTGTTCTGTTCATCTCTATGTCCCCAGCAACCAGAACAGAGCACAGCACACAGTAGGCTCTCTGGAAGTATTTTTTGAATGAATGAATGAATACAAGTTACAAAGAAACAGCCTACAGGGAGTAGAGTAAGTGGAAAATAGAGTGTACATATTCCACTTCTGTACTTCTGCAGTCTTTTGACTGCAATATTATTTCCCTATCAAAAAACTAAAAATTAACTGCAAATTGGGAAAGGAAGGTCTTCCTTTGGGCTGAGCCAGCATCTAACCTCCTGGATCTCCCTACTTCTAATGCAAAGCCAAGCAGAACAAAGACCTGTCCTTCCTTCCTTCCCCATGATGGCCTATCTCTCCTTTCCTCTCTTCTCCAAGCTGAACTGCCCCCTCCCACCCAGTTCCCTCTACTGAACCCAGAAGGACCAAGGAAGGTGGGTACCAACCTTTACCATACACAAGGCAGGCATTAACCAAGAAGGGCAGGATGGAGGGAGAATAGGTTGACTTGTGTTTAAGGCAAAAGAGGTTTTGGGCTGAAACAACACAGTACATGGAACAACAGACACAAAAGCACTCCACAGGAAAAGCTGCCATGTTAACAGAAGAATCGCTGTGCTAACTCCATCCTCATGATGGTGTGACTGATGGATCTCGATCCCCTCAAATGCTGTTCTTGAGATTCTTACTATGCATGTCAGGCACTGCACCAGGCACAGACCTGGCATTTGCTCCCTAAAGCAGCCATCTATCAGGGGGCTTGGAGTTTCCTCATTTGCCTTGTCACAAAGCAGGATTCCCACTACTTTACAGCCCTTCTCAACGTGTACCCCAAGTGGCAGGAGACCAGTGTGGCCCAATCACAGGAAGGGGGACCCTGCCGCACCTGGGGTCCTACATACACTGTGGACTCAAAACAGCAGCCCTTTCCCCAGCAAGACTGTGTATCCCTCAGACAAGCTTGTCCAGGGAAAGGCGAGCTTGTGAGTCTCTTTCTGAGCAGCATGGCAGAGGCAGTGCCTCTCTAGCGCACTGATGCATGGCTTCATAAATCAGAGCGAGAGACGCTTCCATCTTCACCTCAGGGACATGGAACTTCTTCCTAGAAGTAGAGGCTCTCTTAACTGGAAGAAAGCATCACCTCCAACTCTAAGCTTTACAACAGAAAGCAGGACTATCTTACCCATTTAGCCAAAATGGCTGGAGAATGAGCATATGGTTATCTGAACAATTTGATTAACAGTAGTAAGTTCATTCTTCCCCTCAGTTAACCAACATATTCAACTTTTCCCATTCTTAAGAAAACAGACTTGCTCCTTCTTTTGTTGAGTTGATTTCTTCACTGCCCAACTATCTCCTTGACAGAGTCTCCTTCACTTCTTATCACCTGCATCCCATAAAACCTGGCTTTCAGGTTAGCACCTACTTGAATGTCCTCTCTTGAAGTTCACTAGAGACTTTCTGGTACTCTTCTCAGTCTTCAGGTCCATGTGGATCTCCCTACACTTATTATGTGGATGGCTCCCTGCCTCTGAAATACCCTCCTTTCATTTCTATCTCCTGTATGCTCAAGGTTCTTCTTCCTAATTCTCGAATGCACTAAGAGTGACATTGTTCCCCAAGAATATATTCACGGCCTCTCCTCTTTCTAATGCCAGATCCCGCGTAAGCCCACAGCTTCACCTCGCACCTTTGTGAAAAGACTTCAGAAGTTGATTATCCTTCACCCTGACTGCCCAGATCCAGACCACAGGCTCACCATCTGCAGACCTTGCCCCACAGAAATCCCACCTGGACCACCAACAAATGGACCAAAACACTCCTTCACACACCCTCTAAAATCCCTGTCCTGTCTCACCTTCCTCCCAATCCCTGCAAACACATCCTCCCTTCTCTGAGCAGCCATGGTCTTTGACCTCATGACTCATCCCAGTCCACTCTTTCTACAGTGCTGTCTAGTTACCAGCTTCAGGTCTCATCTCCTAGGCTAACCTGTCAGCTCTCCTACCGCAGGGGCCAGTCCTTTCTGGCTCTTCATTCTACTGTGTTTTTACAAAGAGGAGAAGAATGAATGAAAATATCCTTAACCAGCATACCTAGAATGAACCAAGCATGTTAACATCTTAGTAGACATTTCCCTTCCTTTCAGCAGTCTCTTACCATCTTTCCCTCTGAGCAACTATGTGCCAGGTACTCAGCTAGACACTGCAGGTGTTGCTACTACTGCTCCCACGACCTTCGCTGCTTCTATTAGTATCAATGCCGATACTCCGCTGTGACTATTGATAACAACAATCAACATTCAGTACTTACTATGTGTCAGGTACCAAGATACGCATTTACAGGGGTTATAGGATTCAATCTTAATAACGACCCTATGACAGAAGTCATGGTTTCACACATTTCTCCTCATTTCACATATAAGCAAATAAAGCAAAGAGAAAACTGGACAACTTCTTCATCTTCAAGGAGTTCTTAGTCCAGCAAAGAAAGACCTGCCCTAGACATACAGTTACAATGTGCCGAGTGTACAGTTACAGTGCACCGAAGGAAAAGCACAGGATGTAATAGGAGCGCAGAACAAGGGGGCCTCACTCAGGCCAACAACCAGGGACGCTTCTCTAAAGGAACCATGCTTCAGTGGGAATCTGAAGAACGAAATGAGGAAAAGCCAGCCCAAAAGGAGGGAAGAACAAGGCACATCAAGGGCCTAGGCTAACCCCGAGAGCTCATGGTCCACAAGGCATAAGGCACTAACAGTGGAGAAAGAAGGCTTTTCTAAAGACAGTACTCATCCCCTGCTATTGTCCTGTGTCCTGGAAAGGAAGAAAATCTGCTTCTACCTGCCTGGCGGGGACTGGGAACTAGACTCACCTTCCAAGGAGAGTTTCTATTTTCCCTTCACACTTTAAACACAGGATGTGGAGGTGCAAAAAATCAAATTCTTTGTGGAATGAATCCTGCTTTTACATTTTGAAGAGCTTCATCCCCAAGTATTAACAAAATGTAAAGATGACTGGTATGATAGATTCCAGTTACCCAAAATGCAGAACCTTTCCCAGAATTCCATGGAAAGAGTTCTATGCCATCAAGTCAAAGGGGTTTTGTCTCAAAGAGAAACAGTAATTATAATCCCACGGCAGCAAGTCCTTTACATAGCTCATGCAATGGATTACCCTCTCAACAGAACAAAACTGATATTTTATATTTGCAACCACCTTATACATAATTCCCTGATGCTTTTTTTTTCTCTGCTGACAACAAAACAGAATCATCCCAAGCCCTTTCCTGTCGCTCTAAATTCTGTCTCCTTTACCATAGCTTCAATGTACTATAAATATACCTCTTTTGTGACATAAATGCAAAGTTTTATTGTGCCGTTAGCCTTGATAGAAAGCACTGCAGAAAGTTGTTTAGAAATTAAATATCTAAAACAAGCTATTTTAAAATCTAAGGCCCTCACTATTTCATGTCTGCAATGAAGAAATTTCATCTTAGGGAAAGCAAGCTGTCTTTCACACCATATGGTTAATGGTGGTGCATAGCAATTAGCCAGGCTGATTAATGGTGAACAGACTCTAATTTTATGCTTATAATTGAGCCTGCATTTGCACCCCTGGTGCAAATTCAGCACATCCCAACTTCCACTTACAACAGGCAAGAAATCAAGAGAAATAGGATGGTGTGGAAAGTGAGAATTTTTTCTGAAGCCCCCTAAAGAGCATCAGATTTGCAATTTAAAAGACTGTTAGCCACACAATAGATGACAGGCTTATGTAATAGGGTCATGGCAGCCTGGTAAACAAACAGTACCCCTTCCACATCTATAGGAGTCAGGAAAACCTTCATCTGTAACATTACCAGAATGACATTTTGAATATGACTTTTCCCTTCTAGCCACACAATACAAACATCATTTGCCTTCAGTGGTTTGAGGATTTTATTTTTTGCTATTTTTATGTTTCTGAAAAATAGAAAGAACATCAGCAGTAAAGCAACCCAACCAGCATAATAAAATACTTTGGGCCAATGAATTTTAAGAACAAGAAAAAATATAAACTGCATTAATAGAGGGTAGGCTTGTGTGTGAAAGGCATAATATATCTTCAAGTATTTTAAGAATAGAATTATTTCTAGCATAGTCCAAACATGTACAGATATGAGATGCAAATCTATGATTTACAGATATTAGTCGGCCTATTGCTTGAGATCCATCTTCCTGTCTCCAGTTTGCTAGACTTATATGGAATAGAATATAGAAAACTCATTCTAACAAAATGCTAATTGTGGGAAGGTAAAACAGAGATATGGTTGGAAAAGCAGTAATATGAAGGAGGTCATTTTTTAATGTTCTTCAAAATGATTTTACTCATTTATTCTGAAAAGTGCAGCTCAGCTCTAATTGTGCAACTGCTGTATGCAGTATAACACTAATTTTGCCTAAAAATATCTTCTAAGAAATCCTTGACTGTATTTTGGGATTTTGTTGCAGCTTTAGAGAAAAGTAACCTGTTTGGAGAATAATTAATAAATTTTACAAATCACTAAAGTGAAAACTTGTGAAACTCCTGTATATTTTAGAATAATATATTAGAGGTATGTTTTTAAAAAGGAGAACAAGAAATTTTGATTTACATACATAATTATATATGTAGAAGAAGTTAATATTTGAGACTTCAGTAAGGAAACATGTTAATCTCTTTTCTATTTTATTTCCACCTGTAGAGTTTTCAGACTGCTTTCCCCACAAGTCCCTGAGCAGCAAAAAAAGCCCACCCATGCCGAAGTAGCAGCTGAAATCCCTACATGAATTGGTCAGAAATAGTCAGGAGTCAGGCACGCTTTGTGCCAGGAGAAGCCGCATGGCTAACAAAGCAATTAGTAGCCCTTCTCTGATGCAGAGTGTCATCGTCATGCTTTATCCAATTACTCAGAATATATCGGAAGCAAAGTGCCAGTGTTATCTGACAAAGAATAAGAACCTAAACTGCAAGTTAAAAGGCTGTTTTCTGGTTTATTCTCTCCCATATGAAGGGTTGGCTGAGGCCAGAGAAGTGAATGTGGTCTGGTTTCACATGCAGCTTCAGACAAAAATAAAGATACTCATTTGTGGACAACATGAATGTTCACACCTTTCAGGGACTCATCATTGCTATCTTTCCAAAAACACACTACATTTAAGAAACATTAGCTACACTGTCACAGTTGTATAAAAGGTAAGGAAGATTAAGAGATCAGATGCAAGGTAGGGATAGGGGCAGGGAACCACAATCAGTTCAAGGAGGAATGATGCCTATGTGGATGGTCGTATTCTTAAGTCGAAAAATTAAAAAGAGGAACTATAACTTTCAAGTCTTATCCAAACAGAGACTTCTGCTGACATCAATAGAACTCTTACTCATTTTACTAGCAATGCAGTTGAGTGCATATATTAACACTAAAAGGGTTATATTGTATTTCATTCGATTGACAGGAAAAGGGGAAGGGCACTGTTTTGTGCCCATTAACAGTGTGATATCAAAATGGAAACATAACTTTTAGGATGAAATCTAATAAATAATTGAGAACCACTGTGATGTCTGACACTTTACTGCCTAATACATCTAACAGTTTTTAGTTTTGTTTAACAGGACAGAACGTATACACCAAAATAGGCCTGAACTCACCTAGAATTCAGAGGTACAAATCTGAGATACAAATTCATCTTCTCTTTGACAATTAAAGAGAGAACATGGTATTCCTTACCTGCACATGATCTCGTGTGTAAGCAACACTCGGCACATTTCTGGGTTCTTATCTTGGCCTTCATATACTATGGCCTGTAAACAAAGGAAGGATTTGAGTTAAGAATGGAATTAAATAGCAGAGAAAAAAACTATCACAGCCGGTTCTTGACCATTCACCACCGCCCCAAGCAAGGCCAATTAACTTTCAGAGCCAAAGCCCTCACCGGGCTGACCCTTTCAAGACAGTTGATGAGGATCAACCCACATGGAGTGGAAGAGGATACATTCCTCTTTGTCCCATCAACCACCTTGTTATAACGCACATCTCTGGATACTTGTATGAGATGGGCTTCTGTTGTCAAGACAACCACAACTCTCTCTTTAATTCAGAATAAAAATAAATCTAATCAAGGGGGAAGGGAAAATCCAGAAGGGTTTAGGAGATTGAGATACTAGTGATTTAAAATATACAAAAACATATAGATTTGATTTTTAAATAATTGTTATTTGTCACCTCATCTTACTACTTTCAGCTCCAAATTGTAGTGTTCTAGAGGTAAGCAGTAGAAAACAAGTGAGGGTATGGTTAATAAGTCCACTCACTGTCTTCTTTGAGATGATTCATCAATCAAGGGAAACCCTTTCTGCCTACACGAAAACATGTGTTCTCCAGGGCGTATACCCACCCAAACAGTAGAATCTGCCTGCATATGCTGGGGGAAGGATGAGGGGAATTTACACCATAGTTATCTCCCTCAACCAAGAAGAACTACATTTGACTCTGAAAATTTGGAGTCCCAATCCACCTCACCATCCGAGATGTTTTTGTCTGCTTTTACTTATATGTGTACAAACATTTTCCTTAAGGTCACCAGAAGTTTTCCTGAGACCTCTGCTTCTGGAAGATCTACCTGTTAATACCCGGGCCAAAGAAAAATTCACAGCTATGGGTAGAGGACAGTGCTCTACATGGGTATTCATTTTAACTAACTTAACAATGTATCACTGCATAATACTAATATAACACAGCTTCAAATTGTTAATAAAATTACTTTCACACATTCAGATAACTCTCAGTTTCTTGGTGATGAAACTACCTAAATTAACCAGAGATTATTAGTATCTTTTTTTTTAAGGGCACACAGAAACTACAGTATCTAACTTGTATTTGGCTGAAATGTGCTCTCTTTATGACCCTGGGACTTTCGAAACCATAAATGATGGGGGACAGCTTATGAAATTGTGTGTGCAAACCCTCAGAACAGGCTCTGATTTTATGTAACTCCATAACAAAACAAAAACAGCAACAAATTAAAAAATGACAAAAAGAACCTGAATAAGGAAAAAACCGTTCTGTACCACTGACCCATCAAAAGCCTTTTTTTATGGCTGGCCTGCTATAACCCTCTATTTTTAATGTTTTATTTTGCCATAATTTTAGACATACAGAAAAGTCGCAAGAATATATAAAGATTTCCAAGATACTTTACCCAGATACTTTACTTTACCCAGATGCTTCCAATGTTTACACTTTAGTAAACTAAATTTATTTATCTTTCTCTATTTTCTTTTCCTGAACCACTTGTTAACTGCAGACATGCCCTAAATATTTCAAGATGCACTTCTTTAAGACAAGAAATTCTCCTACATAACTACAGCACAATTATCTGAATCAGAAAATGAACATTAGTACAACACGATAATGTAAACACCTGAGATTCACCGGTTGGGCAATGATGTCATTTACAGCAAAACAAACAAACACCCTAACAATCGCCGCATCCAATTGTCACATCACCTTCAATAAGAAATACCCCTGAGTGTTATTTCATGACACTGACACTGTTGAAGAATAGAGGCCAGTTATTTCGTAGTGCCATCCTCAGTGTGGATTTGTCTAATGCTTCCTCGGACTAGTTTTGCAACTCCGGGCTGGAATACCACAAACATGACGCCGAGTTCTCTTCAGTGTGTCACATCACTCTCTCAACGAGCTCCACCAATGGCAGTAAACTCTGACCGTTGGCTTAAGGGAGTGCTTGCCACCCATCAGACAGCACAGCCAGATCTGTGTAAAGTCACTACTTTACTTTACGTAATTCATAACTATCTTCTGGTTAGATCGCATATGTGGTGCTAAAAACTTTTAATTGCGCACTTCTGCAAAATCCTATTATCACTCCATGTTTTGTATGTTCTCTTAACACCCCTGATAACCTCTGTTTCAACTTTAGTTTTCTGTCACACTACACTAATACAAGTAACTTGGAAAACAAAATTCACAAGTATTAATGGGATTTTCCCTCCTGTTTAAAAAATAATAATTTGGCTTTTTTAGGAGGAAGGAACATCAATTACATCAGACCTTCTCATTTTGATTCTTTCTAGATAATACCAGTATTATTTTTACTGAGACTACTGGTTCCTCTGAAATCAGTGGACATATGATGACACTCCATTAAACATAGGCTGCAGTGAAAATATGTTGATGACTCCCCCAAAACAGTAGATGATCCACGGTCTCCCAGGAATTCTATCTTTTTATCTTGGTGACTAAATATCATTTGCTGCAGGCCCAGGGCCTCCATAATACATCTCTACCAAATGTCAACCTGCCACTTCACTTTTGGCAGCAGAGACCTCCTCTACATCAAGCACAGAAAAAATGAAAGCATGAGTTGGGATTTGCTCAGAAATACTTAAACTCTGGGGACAAATGGAAGCAGGAAACTTCTGCTGTCCCTTTCCTTGGGGCCTCAACACAACAAAACTTTTCAGCCTATAAACACAGATAAACAAGCGCTTGCTGCTTCTCTGACTTCTGAAATAAAAGCAAGTGAAACAGAGTCTTTTTCCTCTCCTTTTAAAGAGTAGAATTAAAATCCTGGAAATAAAGTAATCTAGAACCTCAGTGTCATAGCACTAGCTAGCTATACAGTAGAACTCCATTAAAGGCATCTCTCCACCTCCAACCTCGGCTGCTTTTTTGTTGTTGTTGTTTTTACTGCGAAAACTTATTCACACACACACACACACCATACCATCTTATAAAAATATGGTCTGAGAAATCAACATTCTGATGAGATCCAACATAGGAAAACAGGATAAATCTATTTTGATAAATGTCTCTGATGTAGACTGTCAACAAGACAGACTCTCTAAAAAATGCCAACAAGTTCTCTCCGGCTTTCACACACATCAAGTCTCTACCATCTACATTTAGTACACACGTCAAGACTGGTTCACAGTTCAGCAAACCCAGACTTCAAGCCTAAAATGAAAGGGATCCTCTAGTACAACTTAGGGAAAAGTTTCTGCTTTTCTTCGTAATTTAAATATATGCCTCTGTAGGGTGTGAGTAAAGCTCCTTGAGGCTTGGATCAGCTGGGAGATCACAAAAGCTTATAAACAGCATTGACCACTTTAAGTGAAACCATTTTAATAGACAGCTGGTTTAGGACCTAGACAATGGAACACCAAGAAAAAGGCTTATTTTCATCCTCCATAGTAAATCATGCGTCTGCTCACTGGGAAGAAGGTAGTCTGCTGTGAGACCGACAAAGACAACAGTGGTTTAAATAAATCAATGCGTTCATCAGGGGTAAGAATGGGAGGCCTGTTACAGAGGTGGGCAAGAAGGAGAGAGAAAACATATAAAATATATTATTTAAATAAATGAATAAATGGTGAAGCAACCAAAAAAAACAAACCAAAAAAAATACAGTATCAGGTAGAAAAGATGTTTACGATAATCCAATGCAAATATAACCCTTAAGGTGGCAGGAATGCTTCTACAGGAAGAAAAGGAAAAGAATAAACAGCACAAAATTTATCTCAGCTTTAAAAAGCTAGTGAAACTGATAAAAAAGTTGTCAAAACTTGACAAATTTGGAAATTTATTCTTCTGAATATACTAGCCTCCCTTAATGTTCTCTTCTAATGAGCAAATGAAATTATCACAATTATTTTAAATACCCCATTGATTTTCATATTGAAGGTTTTTTCAGAAATAATTTTTTATAGTTAACAAAAATGAAGGAAAAATAAGAACTTTTACATCCTTACACAGCAACACTGTCAGAAGGTTTACTGTAAGAGGATGAAATGCCAGCAGTTTCAAATGCCCTATTATACATTAACCTACACCATCTTTGAAAAGAAATAAAATCAGTCAATTGAGAAACTCTGCCGTGGTTGCTACTGTTTTAGAAGGCATCTTGTGAAGTACAGTTCATCTTTGCATTTCTAAAATACCACTGGGTCTTAAAAGTTAACTGAAACCTACTACAGATAAAGACCACGCAGTAAAACAAAAAATACATGGTGAACTTACACTGGGATCGCACATCAATGGGATGCCAAAGGAAATACAGAGAACTAAGCATGATTTTCTTTGTTTACTTTTCTAATAGTTTTAACTCTTTGTGTCCCATGCCAAAACAAAATGGGCAAAGAGAACACTTTTGACTTTGATTCATCAAAATCTGAAAGGATTTTAGGAACAAAATGTTTTCAGTAGTGTTTTCAGTAGGAGTCTTCTGGTTTACAAACCAACCATCAGAGACTTGTCATCATCAACTGAGAAAGAGAGAATGAAAGGAAAGAAAGAATAGAAGGAAGGAAGAAAGGAAGACAGACTGTGGTTTAGTCGCTAAGTCATGTCCAACTCTTGCGATCCCATGAACAGTAGCCCGCCAGGCTCCTCTGTCCATGGGATTTTCCAGGCAAGAATATTGGAGTGGGTTGTCATTTTCATCTCTAGAGGATCTTCCAGATCCAGGAATCAAACTGGGATCTTCTGCATTGCAAGCAGATTCCTGCATTGCAGGGGATTCTTTATCGACTGAGCTACAAGGAAAGCCCAGACAAGTTACCTATAACTAACAAAAACTCCTAATTTTCTATTTAAATCAAAACAACAACCTTGAAAATATGTCACTCTTATTTTTTTTCCAAACTGAAAATAAAAAGCCAAACTTAATTTCTCACCTTAAAAATACATTCACAAACGCACAAAGTACCTCGCTCAACCAGGAGTAAAGTGTCCTCTAAACACAGTCAACATGCCTTTGGCAGCAAAATGCCAAGAACTG